TATCATATTGAGATGCTGTCTCTGCTCTATCAACCCAGCCGTAAGACGTTTACAATTCATATAAGAGTATTTTACTTGGTTTATCCTTCACACAAATTGTCAAAAGCACAGAATATATAAAACGGGAACCGTGTTTCACATTTTGCCTCCTTGCTAATATAGAACATCTAGGTCGACAAGTTTACATGAATACATTTAAAGGATGGGCTGCTAATTTATGTTCATACACTCGACGACATGAGCACCCGTTAAATACTAAACTACGATACGATTAGGCATTGTAAGTATGTAAAATGATGAGCATGCTTGTTGTAACAGACAATATGGAAACAATAGTTACTGAGCCCAAAGAAGCGTTGCTTAGGCTTTGAGTGTTGTCAAGCAGCTCTTTAGCAAGAGTGGTATAACGCTTTGATGAGGCAATAATAGAAAGAGCAAGCTCGATTGTACATAAAAATCATGATGGATTTGCAATTGTACTGCTACTGAATCAAGCCCACCTGTGACCGGGTGTAAACACCTTGGAGTCACCTTTGTGTGCAGACTCTGTCCGTGTTGTTATAGTGTACAGTACACAACCCTGTGCACTTAAAGGAACCCACGAATCCGTTGGTATATGACCAGATGGTGGTCACATGAATACGTGCAAACATCTAGTTGCGGGTACAGCAACGTGCAGTGAACTTGGACAAAGTACTGTGACTATGTGTCCCAGTCCACCCAGCTGTGAATGGGTACCTCGTTAGGATGAGAAAGCCAAAATAACTCGGTGCGCCTAGTGGCTGCAAGAGTTGTATACTCCCCCAAGGAGTGGAGACTGATCGAGGGTGGAAATACCAGCGCCTTGAGCATGCACTAGTTGCCTGGATATGTGCGCTATATAAATAGCCTGTAATAATACTGCTATTGAGTATTCCTTGATAAAAAAGGAAAAACTGAATATTGGAACGTTGCAGCCATCCCTCTTGCCAAACTGTCTTCCGGATATTATTCATCAAGTTAAGACTTTGCACAGATCGAAATGTTTAAAATTCCAGCTCAGATTGGGTAAATCGATGAAACGTATTTAGTGCCTATAGATATGTCTTCTTCTTGCATGTCTGTCCTATCACCAAACTTCACATAGACGCTGTCATGACGATATTCAACATTTCACGTATATTTATACTTTACGGATTATTTTAACAGTAAACTCTCTATCACCAAACTGGGTAATAAACTCGCTTCAAAAAGTACAAAATGTATGAAACAAGTATGGCTCTTTATAAGGTGATTTAAATTAGTGAAATATTTAATACTGCCAAACATCAAGCAAATCCGTTGTGAATTTTGTAATACTCATTACTTTCATGTGAATGCAAAGTTCATCCCTCTCTGATTGCATCATGGATGAAGGTATTCATTTTATATGCATTTGTTCTCGTAAGTTTGTCCACAAATTGCTATAGTTAACACGGGATATAAACTGTGATTTATCATCAGTGCCTTTAGCAGGTTGCACTCAGTGGCTGATCCGGGGGTAATTGCTGGGCATGTATTTGTCGTTTCTTCATAAGTATGTCACCTGCTTTCCATGTGACCGACTTGTTCAAAAAGATGGTCTGCAAACGGTATACATGTACAGTACAACCAGAAATTATTGAGAATTTAAAGATTGTAATTTTTTATATATTTTTCACTCATTACTCACGTATTAATGTGAATATTAGCAGAACATAACTCCAGATTCAAAGACAGGTGAACAATTAGTATTTTGTCAAGTCACCATGGGCAGCTATGCAGGCTTCAATGTGCGGAGGGGCATACTACTGATCAAAGAAGTTAAAAGTCGTGGTCCATGCCTTCCCAATATCGGACCACCTCTTCTTTCATTTCAGCAATATTTGTCAGATTTTTCTCATTGACACTTTCCTTCATAAGTCCCCAAACATTTTCTATTGGACTTAGGTCAGGGCTATAGCTTTGCCAATCTAATAATGTCATATTTTGGGTACGAAACCAGGCCTGTGAATGCTTTGAACGATGTTTTGGATCGTTGTCCTGCTGGAAAATCCAAAACTTTCCATAGAACACGTGAGCAAATGGAAGCAAATTTCCCTTTGAGAATATCTGTGTACCGCTTACTGTTCACATTTCCTTCAAATACACAGAGGGGCGTTGCCCTTAACACAGATATGCCACCCCACACGTTAAATTTCGGACTGTACTTTGGGCGCTGATACAAAGGTTTTTCAGTTTGTTTGGTCCAGAATTTCAGTTTATTAGGAAACAGCCACACAGAACTTTCATCTGAGAAAATCGCATTGTCCCAGTTATAATTTCTATGCTGTAAGCACCAGTTCAACCTTCGCTCCTTTTGTTCAGGTTTCATGATCGGTGATGGAATTCCTCGACTTTTCTGCCAACCCATTGCATACAGCTCAGCTCTAATTGTCTCCTTACAGACAGCCACAGTTCCTTTATCAATCATATCCAGCCTTAAGTTTTCTAAACTCCTTCGTTTGTTTTTAGAAACGAGAATACCAAGCCGCCTCCTGTCACCGACAGTCAATTTTCTGAGCCTACCTGCGCCTCCCTGGTGCTCAATGCCATATCCATTTGCAATATTTTTCAAAACACGATAAACAGTGGACAAAGGGATGCCTGTTCTACTTGAAATCACTTTAGCTGATCTGATGTCCTTGTTATAATACTCTAAAATCAACTTCCTCTTCTCTAAATCATCCATACTGAGGATCACTGAAAATGTCGTCTGCTAGCAAGTAAACAAAGCGGGATAACCCTTCACAAACTAATGAAGAAGGATTAACGGAGTTGTCTTTCTTGAATGAAACCAAGCACTTGATAGCTGGTCAATTCAAGGTTGTTTATACTAGAAATCCAATTTAACATATTCCTAACATTCTCAATAATTTCTGGTCATTCTACATGTACGTTACTTTGTTGACATAGAAACTAGTTCTAAAGGTCAATTTTATAAAGGTTTTAAAGATAAACTATGTCTTGAAAACTACTTATACTTACCAAGGGATATATATTTTCCTACATTAAAACTAAGAACCTGCAACAATAATCTACGAATTGAAACCGGCCGATGGCATTCTATTCCAAAAGATTATGTAAACTGTGTAACGCTAACGTTGTTGGAGATGAGTTTCGCTATCTCTTTAGGTGTGAAACCCTTCTCCAACAGCGAAATGCCTATCTCGCGACACATATATATGATCTCCAAATACATTCAATGTTAAAGAAATTATTATGTAATAAAACTACTATACATTTAAAGAACTTAAAGTCATTTCTGAATGTATTGTTTAAATCGCTTAATAAGTAATATTCAAATGATCATGTCCAGCAAATTCCCATGTATATAGGGAATTTACCTATGTATTTATATATTCTCATGTACCACCGTTGGTTGGTTGAGAAATAAACTTGTCTGTCTGTCTGACAATGTTTGCCTGAAAGCACTTTGTGTTCAATGCAATGGACGTACTGGATGTTTTCTCAAATTTCTTGTGTGAATGTCAAACTATTGACAAAAGTATGTCTTACGTCAAGGCTCTTTAATATTCAAGGAATATTAAGAGAATAGATGGAAAACTAACCAATCACTATCAGAAGAGGTTCAGAGACATTGGTAATAATTTCAGAAATACAGTTTTCGGAATAGCACAGTGAATGTTAGCCGCTCCACTCCTGTGAAGTTTGTGAAGAAAGAGGCAAGAAAATGAAAATGATCCTATGTTTGGTACAGAAGCTCCTAGGAAAGATAAAGACACAGGAAGGTTGATGCAAAGGTAAACGGTATCTGCAAACACGACTAAGTATGCATTTGCTGCTAATCAGGTTGAGGCAGAGGAACAAACACATAAATAATTATGACAGTGGCAGGGATGGTATTGTATATCCCTACTAATCCGGATCATTGTAGAAACACCGTTAATGTTGTGATTCTGAACAGCACAGTCCTGAGAGGTATGACAAGTTTGCAGACAGACTTTCTTTCCTGAAAAGCAAACGATTTGTGTTTCCGACGCCTGAGTGGGGTCTTAATGTTTAAGATAATATAATTACGAAGCCAATTAGAAATGATTAATGTACAAAGATATTGTAATGACAAAGCCAAGAGTGGGGACAGGGGGTATTAATGTACAAAAAGATAACCACATAAGTCGAAGCCATTGTCGCATTGGCGCGCTTGAATAATATGTTTCTATTCATCCAAATGCGACAAAGTGACACTTTTCAAGGTCAAAATATGTCGCTTTAGTTAATTTTGCCTCTTGTTGCCACCCCTAGAAACACTGATAATCTGAGACCGTTGACTGTGTTCTCAACTGGCTGTTTGGACATAACGTGACGGGTCACTCTACATGAGGGTTTTTTAAAGCTATGTCGGTGTGTTGGGTCGAACTTTTCCTGAGGTTACGGGTATTTGCTTGTGCTGGTCAAGAGTAATTCTTCACAGAATGCATGTTGTTGTTTTTCTTTAATGACCAGTTTTCTATTTGTTTAATTGCAAACTGATAAGCACACATATGGGGAATCGAACCCGGATCTTCGGCTTGGCTACCCCGCCTCCCCTACAATAGAGGGGTTGGTTGGGTAGCCTAGTGGTTTAAGCATTCGTATGTCCCGCGGTTCGATTCCCCACATGGGCACAATGTGTAAAGCCCATTTCTCGTGTCCCCCGCCGGGATGTTGCTGGAATATTTCTAAAAGCGGCGGAAATCCACACTCCCTCACTCACTCTTATAGAAGCGCTATATTCACATCGAAGATGTGGATTAATCTACTTAATCGCTTCCTGTAACTGTTGAACTAAACTCACTCACTCACTATCCGATGGGCAATTTCTCTCAAGGCGGGATCTCTCGTTGGCGACAAGTGTGAAGTTTCCAGAAGCCGTCGTAGTTCTGAAGACGACTGATCTAATATGTATGTAATGAAAGTTTTTTATGTTTTTCAAGAGCAGCCTAGGTCATAAAAGATCTAAAATGATAAACATACCTAAGAACCACGTGCACAAGCCTCATTCTATTAGACGAACATCCTCCCTCAACGAGGGCTCTGTAGCTGGCTACAAGTATGTCATTGGAGTCAGATGTGGCATGTCATATTGGGGATTACACTTTCAGGAAACGACCTGTTGTCAAACTGTGGCTCAGTTGGTCACATCTCTGCCATTGTGTGCTATCCTTTAGGGGCCTCACTCTGAGAATGTGTGTTCGAATCCTGGATGAAACTCGCACCCCAATAGTACAAGAATCTGTACATTACTGGCTGTTTGTTTGTTTGTTGTACAGCTATATGGCGGCGGTCTGTAAATAATCGTGTCTGGGCCAGACAATCAAGTGATCAACAGCTTGAGCATCGATCTACGATGACATGTGTCAACCAAGTCATAACTCCGGAAGAGTTTTGTTACAACCCCTAAATGTTGACATCCTGAGCTGCACGTTGTTCCCGACCTTGATGCTGTTCCTGCAACAGTACTGCTGTTACATTACCCTCGTAAAACTTCACACGGAAAATCAAAACAAAATTTTGATAGTTTGTTAAGTAACTTTTTAATTTGGGAGACAAACGCTATGAGACCTTTTTCCAGAATTGGTCTGATGTTAACATTACATTCTGCGTTGAAATGAATGTTTGCAGTTAGATTGTTATACATCAGTATTATTTTGACCCAACAGACTATAACTTGAGTCCCTGAAACAAAACTAACCCCGAAAATCTGTTTTAAATATGAAAGAAAACAAATGAGTGTGTATACCCAAACAGAGGAAATATAGAAAGGGTCTGTATGCCAGTCTGGTCAGATTGGGTTACCAGATAGTCATACATGCATATGTTAGTGCGCAAAATGCATATGCAAGCATATGTGGAAACCAGATGATGAAAGATGAATGCTTCTAATGATAGTTGTTAAAAATTACAGTCTTAAAATTCAAATAATTTATACATGTTTTAGGGTTAGTGTATGCATGTTACCAGTGAGCAACCGTCAGTCTTACTGAAGGTATTTGAAGAATTTGAGCCCTGTAGTTATCATGACACCTATTTGGTGATCCATCACTTTTAAATATAGTACTTTAATTAGCTGCTGGTCGACTCAACTTAAGATGCACTGGCAAGGGTAGGTGCAGACTTCAGAATCTGTTCCTATCAGAAGGGGAATATTCCAGGAATACTTCTTTACTTGTTTGTTTGTCTTTAAAACTTTTGGGCTTGCTGCACAACAGACAGGAGGGTTACCATCTCGGACCTCCTCAGCACAGATCCTCAACACCGCTTACTCATGTCCTGTACATGGATGACATCGAGCTCCTTGCCAAAGGAGATACCAATCTGGAAGAACAGGTTCTCCTTGTCGAGGCCTTTTCTAAAGATATTTGCATGGCATTTGGACTCGACAAATATAATACTCTTCATTTGAAACGTGTCAAACGTAATTAGTGATGGATCGGTCAAGTTACGGGGTGGGATGTGTGGAGAGTTACTGGGCATCTTGAGGAATATCAGGCCTACACCTATCTTGGAATGCAACTTCGTGACAAGCTCCAGAATGCTCAGATTCAAGACAGACTTCGGGTCGAGTATAAAACTCGCTTAAAGAAAATATGGAGCTTAGAGTTAAATGCTCGAGTTATTTGCACACCATGCAGACTCTTTAGGAATACAGTATCAACATGGCCACTTTGGGAATTGCTCTTGTCGCTTTCCTGGCTACCCTAACTATGGGACAAAACTTTCAAAATAATATAGGAAGATTTGGAGTTTTACCAGGAATAGGGGGTTTAGATCTGGATTTGGAAGTGGTGCTTTCTTTGGTAACGGAGCGGCTCTATTTAATGCCTTTTTCAGTAAGTATTTTCTTTTGCAGCTTCAGTGATACAATGTATCTTGATCCTTTACTAAAGCATTGAGTAATTCTTGATTCTGATGATTTAGCAACGGTATCCTTTGACCTATTGATACTTCTGTTAAATTCAGCTTTTCCATCCAGTGAGGAGGAATGTGAAAACAATTTATCTATCGCCAGCTACGCATCGATGCCTATAACAAGCCCACTAGCTTGTATGTGCACACATTCCTCTATATGCTTGTACTCATCATGTTTTTGTAGTCATCACATTGGGAACAATAAAAATAAATAAATAAAAACAAAAACAATGTCTGGTGATAACCCACTAGAATTGTTCATGTATCCGATCAACAGTTTATCAAATCTGATGACATACAGTTCAGGACACATACAATTAAAACGCAAAACGTTTTTGGACGTGGTAAAATGTAGCCCATGTTATATTTAAAAATACACTTTCCCTGTAATGTATATAGATTCTAGTACTATGTTGGGCCAAGTCCAATCAGGGTTTTGAACTCACACTCTCAGTGAGGCGCCTAATGACCAACACACAGTTGCAGAGATCCAACACACTCAGCCACTGGTGCTTTCAATAAAGGACTTTTGACAACTGGTAGTCTAGAGAAAGTGTAATCCCGATTAAAACATTTGTGACATTTCTCCACAATGACCTCGTTTACTTGCATGAACTCAGAAATCTTCGCATAGAGTTTATTGGATTGATAAGAGTATATAACGATCGCCATTGGCAGTATCTTAGAGGCACCTGTGCTGGAACCACTATTGGAGTTAGTGGTAAGGCTACCCTGAGGAGATCTCAGTCATTCTTTGGACCATGTGTTAGTGAATGCACATCTAATTATCGTTCAGAAACAAATGGATAGTTCTATCTAAGAATCTAATATTCAGGAAGTAAACGGTGTTAGGACACCACAGGCAACGTTTTTCTAGCAATATCGATTGATTGCGGTCATATGTTGTCTCATTTGTGGGAAGCAAATTTGTACTTGATACATGCAACAACGCCCCATGTTCTTCTTATGGACACCAGGAAAAATCAGATACTAATTTCAGTCAGCATGTTAATCGTGACGTACTATTTGAATAGGGGCGGTGGGGTAGCCTAGGGGTTAAAGAGTTCGCTCGTCCCGCCGAAGACCCGGGTTCGATTCCCCACATGGGTACAATATGTGAAGCCTAATTCTGGTGTCCCCCGCCGTGATATTGTTGGAATATTGCTTAAACCGGTGTAAAACCATACTCACTCACTATTTGAATACCTGGCCATGAATGTGTGTTTGATTGTTGTTCAGCTCCACACTCACAATTATTCCAGCTGTATGGAGACTGTAAATAACCCAGTGGTTGATATTGTGAGCAACGACCCATGCTGTCAGGTTGAGAATACACAGAATTAATCCCGTCACTGAACCTGGCCATCCGATCCATTTTGTCGACAAGCATGGGTTACTGTCGAATTCTAACTAGACTCTCAGGATGTGTTTGTATATGTGAGATAAGTTTTGAATATGTGAGATGTTTAAGGGTTGTGTCCTATTGCAGTGGCTCAGACGTCAAACTCTTGCTGGATCATTCGTATTCCGAACTACAGTGGCTTCTGGAACTTTTATGCTTGTAGCCAACGAGAGAGCCCGTGTTAGGGAGGATGTTCATCTGAAGGTATTGGACCTGTGATTCAAAGGTATGTTTATCATTTTAGATCATTTATGATCAACACTGCTCTTGTGAAACAAAGAGAACTTTCGTTACATATCTCAAAACATTTAATGTAATGTGGTGAAAAGCTTTACATGCTAGCAAAGATAACCACTTAATATTTAAATTCAAAATTGTCAAGATTCATATCGTGTGTTGCTTAAGCACTGATGTCGAAAGAGCTAGTGTCAGCTTTAGCAATTCTCCAGCCACTGCTGATTTTATTATCAGTTATTCTCGTTTTCGACCAAAGATTGCGTCCACGTTTCTTTGGCCCGGCAAATACCCGACCAGGGATCATTGCTGACCTAACGCTTGAACAAAACCGGGAAATTACACTTGATGTGGCTTCACTGAACATGCCGTTTGATGACCTTGAGAGTTGTGCAGGAATTGGATTGTCTGTGAGTATATTTCTCTGTACCGTCAACTGATGAAAGGACCTGTCTTCTTCCAGTATTTTCTTGAACTAATGCTTTTTAACTAACTGTCTGCGACACTGTAAAGTTTACATTTCATGGAAAATTGTATTATGTGGTAATATTCGTGAGAATACTGTGTAACAGCATATTTCGTTTGAGATGTTACGATAATGTTTAATACTAAATATATTATACGTACAGATGAATGTATAAGGAGGAAAACTGTTGCTGTTGTTTTTCTGTGGGCTAACTGTCCTAAATCATATGACACTGTGCACCTGTAATAGAGCATTTCCTGTATTTCATAAAATAAAGGCTGACTTTAACCTTAGTGTCTGATGACGCCAACTCGTGTTTCAGATCTGTTCCGGTCTTACAACAGATGCTTTTGGTCGCCAAGTGTGCCCGGACCCAGTCTTTGCTTGCTGCAAACTGGGATATGACAACAAGGAAGCTGTCCTACTTCCCATACTCTGAGAGGAAAATAGGGCCTGTAAGTCAATCGACGCGCTACTTCCGATACCAAGCTAGTTGACGGATCCCTGTGCGATATGCGAAACGGAGCCCAGCTTACTTGCGGTACCACATTTCCGGTGACAAGCATATGTTCAAGAACCAGTTCTGGTTCCAAATTGCGTGACCTCCAAATAAGACTTTATTAGACCGGACCAAGTGTACAACCATGCTTGGCTGTCACAGCTGTTGACAGTCGTAATAGATGGATAATTTGGGAACGGTCAGATCGGAATTTTTTTATTCCTGTATTTTATTTAAAGGATTATCGGTTCCTTACTGTCAACTGACAGCAATAAGACCATTCGAAAAAATATGAAACCTTGTTTGTCACCGGAAATACTGAGGTCTCGAATTGCTGTGACTTACGGGCCCAATTATTCCCAGTCTGGCCAACCCGTAAATTAAATGCATTTGGTACATAAATTATTATTATAATAATGTTTTGCTTTTGGTTTCACAGGTATATTCACTGATATACATTACTTTCTAAACATTAGAAAATTGTGCGCTAATTCTTAAGAAAAACAGCTTGTTGCCTGTATTTGTGGGATTTTTTCTATCAAATATGGAATAACAGCTAACTCACCCATGGTTACAAATCCCTCTACAAAATCAGCTGGTTCTGCTTTACCACGAGGTAAATTCTCACAAGAAAGCATTTTGATTCCGAGTCACCTACCCAGTGTACTGAAACTTGTTCCGTACCCTGTTTGTTAGTCAGGAAACCCATGAAGACCCGAAGTCAATCCAGTCATCTGCAGCATGAGCATCGATCTATGAGATTGGGATACAATGACAAGTCAGAGAGCCTCACCACCCGGTCCCTTTAGTCGTCTTTCGACAAGCATGGCTTGCTGAAAACAAATTCTAACCAGTATTTTCACGGGTTGCACTGCTGTGTTGATCAACACATGGTGTGCATGAGCATCGATCAACACATGAAGATTAGGGGTCCATCCCATCCCATTAGTCATCTCTTACGACTAACATGGGTTGCTGAAGACCAGTTCTAACCGGGATCATCACGGATCGTCAGGCTCCAGAAATTATGCGATTGGAAAGTAATGATAGTGTTATGCCCCATTTGCTTCACTGTGACGGTTTCTTATGAAAGAAAAAAGTGAGTCTGTATAAAGTGACAGGGGACATACAGTCAAGGTATGTATCACAGTCTGGGCAGATCGGGTTACTGGTTAGTGAGGCATGTTTTATGCAAAAAACTGATACATGCATATGTGAAAACCAGGTGATGAATGATGAATGTTACTATGATAATTGCTAAAAACAAAAGTGTTAATAATCAAAAAACATTGTTACGATCAATTACATTTGTGTTAGTAATTGGTAACATCCTTGTTTGTTTGCATGGAAGAAATTGAAATTTCAGCTCATGGTATTGTTCATCAAACCGACGACCTTAGGTTGGATGAGAGAATGGTTTTGGAATAGTGACAGGCCTCATGTTATGTTCGAACCCCCTGAACCCCCCATTGGCTCCGCCAACGCAAAAAATAAATCTTCAATGTGATCTTAAGTCATTTTCAAAGGGGGGTGGGGGGTGGGGGTGTCGAACCCCCTGAACCCCCCCTCTGGATCCACCACTGTGTGCATGATCTCTGCTGAAACATTCTTTCTAGAAACGTTAGCTGTGATATCCAATATTCACATTCAATTTGATATCAGCTTTTGTTATGTACTTAACTGCAAAAGCACTATCCATTTTTGAGCCGTTACCAAGCTTTACCCATTCCTTATTTTGGATGATATGTTCACCGTTAAAATTACGTTATTGCATGAGAAATGGGCTGCACAACTTCCAACAGTTTTACCGTATTACATCAAGTAGATGCTCTAAGAAATCAGAACGGCAAATTTGAACTCGGTATCAAACACACTATATGCGCAGAACGTCAGAGCTCTGCACTTTTCTCAGATTTCTGAGAGTTACGAGCAAAGCATCAAACCCCGGTCTATAATCTGACCAAGGAAAGCTGACAAACAGGTATAGCGGTATGCGATTTTGCTTGATTGCTAATGTCAATCAATCAAGCTACGAGAGGAGCGTGATAACATTGTTCGCTGGCACGAGGTCTTGTGAAAAAAAGGATAAAAATCTACTGCTACTGCCACTGACTTATGGAACAATCTATTGTCAGATTTGCCAAATTGTGGGTTTTATGGGATCATTTTAAGGAATTACTGACGACATCAATTATCCACAACATTTTAACTTTTGCAGCCGGTCACGAATATATCCATACAAGTGCGATAGAAATATCCCCGAGGACCCTTCTTTTTAATCTTGTTCAATATGTTGGTTAATGCTAATTATTTCTTTTTATGTCCAAAGGGGCGGTGGGGTAGTCTAGTGGTGAAAACATTCGCTCGTCACACCGAAGACCCGGGTTTAATGCATCACATGGGCACAATGTGTGAAGCCTTCTGGTGCCCCCCGCAGTGATATTCCTGAAATATTGCTAAAAGCGACGTAAACTTAAACTCACACACTCATTAACACTCATGTCCAAAATAATGTATCATAAGATCAAATTAATACTTCCATACGATGTGATACAATGTCAATTCTATACTTTAGAGAAATACTTTAGAACCCGTAGACAATGTTGACATTTATTCATTATAAGATCACACAGATCAAAAAGACTTAAAACTGATCACTTGAAATATTTATGTAGCTTATTACGTACATCCGATAAACTCCATCTTACTGACTGGTATGGTATTCGCTGTTTATTTCCAACTTGACTGTATTTATATATGTGATTTGATTTATCAGTCCCAAGATTTGTTTATCAATCCAGTTCGTGTACAAATCACGGAAACACATACGTTGAAACCAAAACGTTCAGACCAATTTGGATCAAAAACCCACTTTGATGTCCATGGGTGCTAAAGAAAAATCAGGACCAAAAGTCATTTCTATCTTGGAATGAGTACTGAAACTCACTCCAAGTGTAACGATACGATAAAGGACGTCAAAGTATATATAGAGCGGCCATTGGTGATTTTACAGTGGACGAGCTGTCACCACAGGCAAAATAAGGTAATGTATTACACACTGGTTAAGGTCTCTATTTCTAGTGCAGTTTTCTCTCACTGGGTGATTTCCTCCCTTCTATAAATATTCTATAAAGCTGCCTCTTTTACCACACCATGCAGACCCTTCCAAGCGTACAGTATCAACATGGCCACTTTGGGAATTGCTGTTGTCGCTTTCCTGGCTTCCCTAACTATGGGACAAAATTTTCAAAATAATATAGGAGGATTTGGAGTTTTTCCAGGAATAGGGGGTTTTGGATCTGGATTTGGAAGTGGTGCTTTCTTTGGTAATGGAGCAGCTCAATTTGGTAGCTTTTTCAGTAAGTATTTGCTTTTGTAGTTACAGTGATGCCATTTCATCATGACCCATTACCAAGGCATTGAGTAATTCTTGATTCTAACTAATGAGTTAACAACGGTATCCTTTGATCTGTTGATTCTTCTGTTGAATTCAGTCTTCCCATCCAGTGAGAAGGCATATGTAAACAATTATCTATCGCCAGCTACGCATCCATGCTTGTGAAAATGTCTGCTGATAATCCAGCAGAATTGTTCATGTATTCGAACAACAGTTTATCAAACCTGATGAAATTTAGTTCAGGAAACACATATAATTACAATATAAAGCCATTTGGACGTCTTCAAATGTAACCATGTTATATTTGACAATAAGCTTTTATGTAATATACATATCGAAGAACTATTTTGGGTCGAGTTCCATCTGGGGTTTGAACCCACACTCTCAGAGTGAGGCGCCTAATCACCAACACACCCAGCCACCGGTGCTTTCACAAAACCGAAGTATGGCAACTGGTAGTCTAGAGAAAGTGTATTCCCATTTAAAACATATGTGACATTTCTCTACAATGACCTCGTTTATGCATATTTAAAAAACTTCGTATAGATTGGATTAATAAGAGAATATAACGATCGCCATGGGCAATACCTTACAGACACTACAATCACTTGCGCTGGAACCGTTCCTGGATTTACTGGAGCTACCACCCTGAGAAGATCCCAATCATTCTTCGGACCATGGGTAAGTGATTGCATATCCAAATATCGTTCAGTTGCAAATAGTCAATTCTCCCAGAATCTAATATTCAGGAAGTACAAGGTGTTGGGGCACCACTGTATGCATTTTTCTAGCTATATCGACTAGTTGCAGGTATATGCTGCCATTTTTTTAAAAAGACAAATATGTAGTTGATACAACCAATAACGCTCCATGCTCTTGGCACGAACACAAGGAAACGATCTTATCCTCACTTTAGTCAGCATGTAATCGTGACGTACCTGGCCAAATGGAGACATGAAAGTGTGTTTGGTTGTTGTTCAGCGTTACACTCAGATTTATTCCAGCTGTATGGAGACAGCCCGTAAATAACCCAGTGATTGATATAGTGAGCAACGACCCATGCTGTCGGGTTGAGAATACACAGAATCAATCCCGTCATCGAACCTGACCATCCGATCCATTTTGTCGACAAGCATGGGGTACTGTCGAATTCTAACTATAGTCTGTTTGAAGTGAAAACGTACCGATGAATTTCACTTTAAACAAAAAGGTAAATAAAATATAGTGAAGTTATGACTGCAAATCCTCTTTATTTTACCTTGACAATTGAACATTTAAATCTCATATGTTTATTCATCATAGGATAAAAGTTGTTTAACAAACGATCATAGTTTAAAATTGCTATTATTTGTTTGTATTACAAAGGGGTATGCACATTAAATGAAACACCGAAAACAATAGGGTTGGTTTCTACGGTAGTCTAAGTTAACGCTCATCACGCACCGCACGTGCATTTGTTTCACTGTTCCAACTACTACGCTTACCCCCTTGTAATGCAAACCAATAATAGCGATTTGAAACTATGATCGTTTGATAAACAACTTTTAGCCTAAGTTGAATAAAATTCTGAGATTTAAATGTTCAGTTGGCAAGGTAAAACTATGAGGATTCGCAATCTTAATTTCACTTTATTTGATTTACTTTTTGTTTAAAGTTAAATTCATCGGTACGTTTTCATTGCAAACAGACTATAGTGGTGGTGGTGGAATTGGGTTTAACGTCGTGCTTGAGAATATTTCGCTCATGTGACGACGTGCATGCGTGTGTATGTGTATATGCGGCTGCTTGTACTAGCCCAGACTGAAGCTGGTTTTATAGTGCTAGCCCACTGAGATACCATGCCGCAGTGAAGCATGAATACCCCACTCAGACACATTATACTGACTCCGAGCCGACCAGTCTTTGTTGTACCCATTAATGCCGAGCGCCAGGCAGGGACCAACAAGTACCATATTTTAACGTATTTTGGTATGACGCGGTCGGGGAGCGAACACGCGACCTTCCGCTCTCCGGGCGGACTCTCTAACCACTACACCACGGCAGACTATAGTGAGTGAGTGAGTTTGGTTTTACGCCGCTTATACAAAGAATCCAGCAATATCAAGGCAGGGGACACCAGAAATAGGCTTCACACATTGTACCCATGTCGGGAAACGGACCCTGCATGTCTTTGGTGTGAAAAGCGAACGCTGAACCACCAAGCTACCCCATCTCCCCAATTCTAACAAGACCCCGAGGATATGTTTGTATACGTAAGATAAGTATTAAATGTGTGTGATATTTAAGGGTTGTGTCCTTTTGCAGTGGCTCAGACGTCAAACTCTTGGTGGAATGTTCGTTTTCCGAACAACAACGGCTTCTGGAACCTTTTTACTTGTAGCCAACGAGAGAGCCCGCGTTGAAGGAGGATGTACATCTGATGGATTGGGGCCTGTGATTCAAAGGTATGTTTATCATTTTAGATCATTTATGATAAACGCTGCTCTTGTGAAACAAAGAGAACTTTCGTTACATATCTCTAAACATTTCAGACAGTTTGGTGACTTTACATGCGAAAAAGATAACCACTTATTATTTACATTCAAAATTGCCGTCAATATTCATATCGTGTTTTGCTTAAGCACTGATGAGCTAGTGTCAGCTTTAGCAGTTCTCCAACCACTGCTGAGGAAGATGGTTTCTGTACAAGACGCACGATGAAAACATTTGCTGGTATATTTTTCTCTAGAGTTTCAGTTATCTTGGTAAATAGACGTATCATTTATTGTTCATAGAAGCACATCCTAGCTTTATTATGTCTTGTTCTCGTTTTCCACCAAAGACCTCGTCAACGTTTCAACTTCTTTGCCCCGGCAAATACCCGACCAGGAGTCATTGCTGAGGTAACGCTGCAACAAAACAGGGAAATTACGATTGACGTGGCTTCAGTGAACATGCCGTTTGATGACCTTGAGAGATATTCTGGAATAGGACTTGCTGTGAGTAGATTTCACTGTACATTCAACTGATATAATCGAACTGCCATTTAATTTTTTCCAGTATTTTCCTGAAAATATCCTTTTATACAAACCGTCTGAGACACCGTGCTAATATCCGTCAGAATACAGTATGTATGTTTTGTAAGAGGTCTTACGATAATGTTTAATACAAAATTTACTATATATACAAATGAATATCAAAGGAGGAAAACAGTGGTAGTTTTGTGCGTTGTTTGTCCTAAATAATATTGTCTATCGTTTTTAAAATATATAATGCCCTAAACTTAAGTGTCTGATGTCGTCAAATCTTGTTGCAGTTGTGTACTGGTTTTACAACAGATGCTTTTGGTCGCCAAGTGTGTACGGACCCAGTCTTTGCTTGCTGCAAAGTGGGTTATGACAACCAGGATGCCGTCCTACTTCCCATACCCTAAGAGGAAAAATATTCCCAGTCTGGCCTCCTCGATATGCATTTTGAACATATAGTAATTCAGTCTTTTTCTATTCAGGCAAGGCAATGTGTTCATTTTGGTTACACAGACACATATTTTAAAATCTCTGATATACATTATTCAACTCAACCATGCACATTAGAAAAATGTGCACTCATCTTCAAAAACAAACGCTGAGACATTATTTGTATTTGTGGGATGTATTTCTATCAAATAAGAAATAAAGAATTGGAGAAGTTTTTTATGGCAGTCTGTGAATAATCGAGTTTGGACCAGACAATCTAGTAATCAAATTCATGAGCATCGATCTTCGCAAATGAGATACTATGACATGTGTCTACCAAGTCAGCGAGCCTGTCCACCCGATCCCGTTATTCGCTCTTAAGACTGGCATGGGTTGCTGAAGACCAAATCTAACCAGGATCTTCTGTGACTAGTATGGGATGACATTGTTATGAACCAATTGCTTCACAGAGATGGTCTCGTGGAACAGAGAATTTGCTTTGCTTTGGTTTAACAAAGTTATCTTTGGCACCTATCTCACACTCGAACACACTAGTGATGACATCAAGGATCTCGATGACGTAAGAGATTTGGCTCAGGACATTACACTTCCACACTTTGCTATATTCTTCAGTACCTCTGCTGAAATATTATCTCATGGAGCTTAACATCTTCATTGTATTTTGAAATACATTCCCACTTCATTCAAAATATACAATTATGCATATTTCACATATTTTCATTAGTTGAGACAACATGCATTGCTTAATCATTACAAACTACATAAAGAAACATTATGAAAATTTATATTCTGATCAATGGAATATATATATACTTACATATTAGATGCATTTTAATATATTTACCTTTAAGATCTTAGCAGTACATTGGCGAGACAAAGTTTGGGCTCTTTTCACTTGTCTTACAGCTGTTTAATACAATTACACCATAAAGGTTTGGGAAAGTAGTTAACTTGGGTAGGGAGAGGGAAGGGGGAGCTGTTACCGACAGAATGTAATGCAGGAAGTATACAGGGAGTGATTCTATCCCATAGGATCAGTTAAAATAATTTTCTATGGAGTGACCTGATCCTCCTAAATGTAATTTATGATGCTCGAATAATGCAAATCTGACTTTTGCTTTTTATTACATATTTTGCAGGAAAGTTATCTTGTTTGTGCATGTGTGAACAAACCAATTAATATGCACATTTAAAGCAGTAAGTAATTACTGTCAACACACACACTACCAACACCACACCACACCTAACCAAATATTAAATGATAGCTTCTTAATTTTAGCTACGAATCCCTCTACAAAATCAGCTGGTTCTGCTTTACCACGAGGTAAATTCTCACAAGAGATGATGAACCCAGTGTGAGAGAATGAGTTTAGTTTTCCGTCGAACTCAGCAATATTCCAGCTATATGGCGGCGGTCTGTAAATAATCGAGTCCGGACAAGACAATCCAGTGATCAACAGCATGAGCATCGATCTAGGCCATTAGGAACCGATGACATGTGTCAACCAAGTCAGCAAGCCTGACCACCCGATCCCGTTAGTCGCCTCTTACGACAAGCATGGGTTACTGAAGATCAATATTCTAACCCGGACCTTCACGGGTAGCTTCTTAATTTTTATTGATAGTGACATGAGTGGGTGAGCGAGTGTTGTTTTCGCCGCTTTCAGCAATATTCCAGCAATATCACGGCGGTGGACACCGGAAATGGGCTTCACACATTGTACCCATGTGGAGAATCGAACCCGGGCCTTCGGCGTTACGAGCCAACACTTTAACCCCTAGGCTACCCCACCGCCCCGATAGTGACATGAATAAAAAATAGGTACTTTTGACCCAGTTCGTGATTTCTCCTATTTACCGTCCCTTTGAAAATGCAAGTTATAAATCAAGAAACACTGGCCCAAAGGCCTCAAGTCAGGACAAAATGTGTCACAATATGGTGTGATTGAGTGTATGTCCAAAAGCCATCCAACATCAATCAGAAATTAAAGCTGTTGAAATAGATTATTTAAACTTATCAGCCTCTATTGAACACAATAAAGAGGTTACTTTGAAATATATTTTGATTTTAATTCTTGAAGAAAGGAAAGTCCGAAATCTACATCTTTTTGTACACCTTTTTTACATCTCATCACAAGCAGGAAGCGCGTAGTGAACGCATGAAAGCATCACACTCTCATGGGTCCTTGATCTTCCACACAAAACAAGGAAGAATTATATCCCTTAAACAATAAGGCAGTTAACTTTTCCCTTGTCTGTCCCAACACAAATTACATCCGAGGGCGGTGGGGTAGCCTAGTGGTTAAAGCGTTGGCTCGTCACGCCGAAGACCCGGGTTCGAATCCGCACATGGGTAAAATGTGTGAAGTCCATTTCTGGTGTACCCTGCCGTGATGTTGCTGGAATATTGCTAAAAGCGGCGTAAAACCAAACTCAGTCAGTCAGTCAGACAAATTACATCCAATTCCAATTCATATCAAGAGAGACAGTGGCTCCGAGAAGATGTCAGAGTCCAAAGAAACCTTCAAAATACATTGATCATTTTCTTGCGCGAGTACAAATTCACCATATGAAACGATGATACTTCATTAGTGCTCCGCGTGAACTTGCCCTTGAATGGCATATGATCGCGATAGACTTTGACAGCAGATCAATTTACATATAAATGCCTGTGGGGTAGGGAGTGGACGGATAGTAACATCCCGAATCAAAGCTGCTGTACACTAAGCACCAAACCACACTTTACAAATCTTCCGTTATTTCTTCCAATTTCATGTTGGATGTGATGGGTTAATCAAAAGGGTTCGAATCCTTACACGTTGGCAAACATTTTGCTAATAACACTCAGTTGGACACCATTTTGACCAAGTTTTGCATCACGTTTCTTTTCAAACCTTGCTTAATGAAATGGTGTTCGTACATCAAAATATGTCCGTTCAAGGTTCCTGAAATGGGTTTTGGGGACATGTTGTCTGATAATGTAAATTTACTTAAGTTTGAAGCATCACTTATCATATTTCCTTTTTTAAAATGTAGGAACATGCACCCTTTTTCTTATTTAATGAAGTCTGTTTCTAGCTTTGCCAAACGTTTCAAAATAAATATCACACACCAGGGATTTTAATGTGAAGAGCACACGGTCATCTTTGGTGTTCAGAAGAAACAGACTCTTTTGTTTAACGCTGAACAAAACACGTTCTACTGAAAATCAACTTCATCGAACCGTGGGAATTATGCAAATGAAGTTAATCAAATGTTCATCAAAAAACATCTTTTGAGGAGGTTATTTACAACAGGTAAACCCTCGTGAAAAGCAATTCACTGATCATTCACGTGTGAATCTTCACATGCCCGTGTACATCTACGGAATCAATACCTCTCTGCTGCATTCACTGCTTAGAGAAATCCACCAATGAGTGGCAATGAGAGAGAGTCCACCAATTAGTGTCAAAGTACTTAACCCGTTAAGGAACTACATGTACCACATTAGGTCCCGACGTCGCAGATTTTACTTCCACTTCGACCTCACTATAGTCCCCTGTATTATAATCAGGTGCATCTAACGTGACGTAAACAACGTGTGAGAATCTGAGGACGAGACTGAAACATTGTTCAAAGACGAGTTCAGAGTTGATCTAGAACTTTCTGATGGTCCAACAGTTGGACGTTTTAGCAAAACTGGCATCGTCTTGGGTGAAGTGTAAATGCATGGGGTGGTATACCAACTCATTTAAAACACAACTTTAATGACATTTTGAATGGCTACTGGGGCATATATAAGCAAACCCATCAAACTTACGTGTTACCCACCTTAAATATTTTATGGCTTCACAATTGAAGGGCTACTAAAGACCAAATCTAATCTGAGTCGTCACGGGTCTGTTCTTATAAAGATGTTCTTGCAAAGCAAGTAATATATTTCATCTGCGCTTTGCATTTCTTACTACGCTGTGCATACACAAATTATTTTATCTCAAGGATATAACTAATAACCTTCTAAATGCATCAGTCTTTCCCACAACGTAAATGTACTGGTGTTGACATGCCCCTGAGCACAATATGAACATTTGCTTCAAAAGCGACTGTACATATGTGTATTTTCCTAAATATTGTGGAAAGGTAGGGGTAGATAGCCTAGAGGTTAAAGCGTTCGCTCGTAAGACCGAAGGCCCGGGTTCGAATCCCCTGCAAAATGTGTGAAGCCCATTTCTGGTGTCCCCCGCCGTGATATTGCTGGAATATTGCTGAAAAAGCGGCGTAAAACCAAAGTCACTCATATTTGGAGGTACACTTTAATGCTCGGCGTGTTTTAGTTCAGTAAATATGTTTCCCGTATCCCTTCATCAGGCTGGAGGGGCGGTTGGGTAGCCTGGTGGTTAAAGTGTTCGCTCGTCATGCCGAAGACCCGGGTTCCATTGCCTGCATGGGTACAATATATAAAGCCCATTTCTGGTGTCACCCGCCGTGATATTGCTGGAATATTGCTAAAGGGGCATGAAACAAGACTCACTCACTCATCAGGTTGGATATTGTACATTGTACTGTTGAAATAACATTTCCTACTTTTACTCTATAAACTATGCGATGCTGCAAGATTATCCGTGTTGCGGAATCAGGCCATGAGGATCATTGTGCTACCTCCTCAACCCTGGACACGCAATGAACAAATAAGACGGTATTGGATATCTCAATAATAATATGGGTAAACACAAAGTGCATGCTCAAAGCGCTGAAATTACGCCCGGCTCAATGGATCAGTGCGCCACCGATTGCCATTCTCAGCTCCCTGAGGCGAATACAACTCAAGCCCCCTCGGGTGCTGCATGGTTAACAGACACAATACCCTTTCCATCCGGCTGGATGAAGAGAGGCACATTTCGAACAATGTCACATGCATAAAGATGACATGTGCTAATGGTGCTTCAGTGTGGGACAGGACCAAAGCCCCAGAAACTCTCAGGAATCAAGATTCCCTGTGTGCGGCATTATTTTATCCGTACCCCAAGACCGATGTTGCATAACTTCCCGTGATATGAAACTTGTGCCCTGTGCGTAACAGATGGTGGCGCTTTCTTTGAAACAAACAACTCAACTTGCTGCAATAAAGTCACCACAGTGCCTTTATAAGGAACTCCATTGCAAACACATTCAAGTGTACTTTTACACTGACTTTAAGTGGATTACTTGTTCCAGCTGTGATGTTTTTCAGTTTGTCGTGAAACTTCCAAAACGGATTAGTTATCTAAACTGTGACTCACCCTGGCCCAGTCTCTCCAACTGCCAAACGTGGGAGATGAAAGAGTAAGTGTTTGTTTTATTCTGAGTTTAAGTGGATTTATTTAAGTCGACTTTGATTAGTGTTGTCAGCGGCTGGGAGGATGGGATGATCGGGAGTGGTGTCTGAGAGATTGATGGCGGCATGGGGGAAGGTGGTAAGGGCAGAGCCATGAGGCCACTTGCATGAAACGTTACGGCCATCTTTAGGTAGACTAACGCTTATAGTCTGTTTGCGGTGAAAACGTACCAATGAATTTCACTTTAAACAAAAAGGTAAATAAAATATAGTGAAGTTATGACTGCAAATCCTCTTTATTTTACCTTGCCAATTGAACATTTAAATCTCATAAGTTTATTCATCATAGGATAAAAGTTGTTTAACAAACGATCATAGTTTAAAATTGCTATTATTTGTTTGTATTACAAAGGGGTATGCACATTAAATGAAACACCGAAAACAATAGGGTTGGTTTCTACGGTAGTCTAAGTTAACGCTCATCACGCACCGCACGTGCATTTGTTTCACTGTTCCAACTACTACGCTTACCCCCTTGTAATGCAAACCAATAATAGCGATTTGAAACTATGATCGTTTGTTAAACAACTTTTAGCCTAAGTTGAATAAAATTCTGAGATTTAAATGTTCAGTTGGCAAGGTAAAACTATGAGGATTCGCAATCTTAATTTCACTTTATTTGATTTACTTTTTGTTTAAAGTGAAATTCATCGGTACGTTTTCATTGCAAACAGACTATAGTGGTGGTGGTGGAATTGGGTTTAACGTCGTGCTTGAGAATATTTCGCTCATATGACGACGTGCATGCGTGTGTATGTGTAGGTGCGACTGCTTGTACTTGCCCAGACTGAAGCTGGTTTTATAGTGCTAGCCCACTGAGATACCATGCCGCAGTGAAGCATGAATACCCCACTCAGACACATTATACTAACTCCGAGCCGACCAGTCCTTGTTCTACCCATTAATGCCGAGCGCCAGGCAGGAACCAACAAGTACCATATTTTAACGTATTTTGGTATGACGCGGTCGGGGATCGAACTCGCGACCTTCCGCTCTCCGGGCGGGCGCTCTAACCACTACACCACGGAGGCGGTCTCCAAGTCCCCGAAACGCATTATTTCCCTTTCCATTTAGCAATGCTACAGCCTAAATCAAGTCTAGATTTGCTCAGGTTCTGAATCCCCAATTGTTCGTTTCCATCACAATTACACATATTCAGAGGTTATAGTCTGTTTGCAGTGAAAACGTACCGGTGAACTGCACTTTAAACAAAAATGTAAATCGAATAAAGTGAAATTAAGATTGCGAATCCTCATAATTCTACCTTGCCAATTGAACATTTAAATCTTAGATTTGTATTCAAGTTATGAAAAATGTTGTTTAACAAACGATCATAGTTTCAAATCGCTTATATTGGTTTGTATTACAAGGGGGTAAGCGCAGTAGTTGGAACAGTGAAACAAATGCACGTGCGGTGTGATGAGCGTTAACTTAGACCAACCCTACTTGATTTAGGTGTTTCATTTTATGTGCATACCCCTTGTAATACAAAACCAATAATACGGATTTGAAACTATGATCGTTTGTTAAACAACTTTTATCCTATGATGAATAAACTTATGAGATTTAAATGTCCAATTGGCAAGGTAAAATAAAGAGGATTTGCAATCATAACTTCACTATATTTTATTTACTTTTTTGTCGCCATATAGCTGGAATATTGGTGCGCCTTGCAAACTATATTTCCAAAATAATCACCGAGAATAGCTATACTACTGTCTGTGTTTTTTTGTGTGTATTATTAAAGAAAGCCCGAAATGTTGACTTGCCCCTTGTTTGTGTGTCATCAGCGTTTGACACAAGGACTGACCCTGTTTTAATGTACTTGTCCGTTTCAGAAATATGGCTGGAACATCTCTTCTAATAAAAAGAATATGTATTTCCCTGTTATATAATTTAGAGTGAATGAGTTCGTTTGGCGCTGCTTTTAGCAATATTACCTTAATGCCATGGCGGGGACACCAGAGATCACACATTGTACCCATGTGGGGAATCGAACTTGGGCCTTCGGCATGACGAGCGATCGCGTTAATCAGAAGGCTACCCCGCTGTCCATCAACTTCAGCAATGATAGGCATAACCTGCTGAATGACCGCTAATGACACTTGTAACTGAAACGGATCACACACACACATGAAAGACTCTGGTCCTCCGAAAGAGTTTTCCTCGGTTTAATCTTAATAGAGAGAGAGAGAGAGAGAGAGAGAGAGAGAGAGAGAGAGAGAGAGAGAGAGAGAGAGAGAGAGAGAGAGAGAGAGAGAGAGAGAGAGAGAGAGAGAGAGAGGAGCTTAGAGAGAGGTAAGCTGATCAATTTGATCCTTACCTTTGCCTTGGGTGACGATTAGGCTTATATATCAAATACGTAAATTACTCTGTCTTCATGTTGTTGCAGATTTTAAAAAGAGATCTGGCGACAGTGCATTCATTGAAGTCCTTGAACAACAGTGGAGGTAACATATAGAACTAACGTTCTAAGTCCTGTGTCAGCTTCGCGAGTGAAAAAATAAACGTACTATATTGAGTTGAGTTTTAACATTTATTTGCAACCCATTGTAAATGTCTCTAGCTCAACTTGTACAAGTATATATAGCACTGATGAAAAACATATATAAACAGCACTTTAGTTCACTTTACTAAATGTCATAACATATGTCAGTATAAAAGTGACGTGCATGGTACTTAATACCTGTGTCACAAATTCAGCTTCACAAAGAGATCCACACTGCAATACGAACAGACCACGAACAGAAAAACTAAAACAAACAATAAATATATTTTGAGACAGCCTATTTGAGTTGTCACAACGATATAAGTGTCTCAATGATGTATTAAAGCCTATACAGATGTTGATTCATAATCAAAGAGATCATAATCGAGATGATTTTTCATTATAAATAACAGACTGTTTCATTAGGTTGGAGGAAAACATCTTGAATGTGATATGACTTAAATATTAGTAAAGAAGAGATGAACTGCAATACGAGAAGCAATGTATTATGTCATACATGTGTTCATTATGCATCAAGGGAAAAGCTAATGATTTTATCCTAAGGTCAGGAGTAGTTGAGATTATTAGTTTTGACACGACGAAAGAGGAAACACTATCTTCTGAGCATTTGTCTTTTCGGCTTAAGTCCCTAATATTTATTGAAAATTCACTCAAAGGGTACATTAGTTGTTTTCCATTTCTTTTGGATCTAACATCATGACAGAATGTTTTTGCAAACATTGAATTTTTATTACTCAGTGGATTTCTTTTCTTCTGTTCGTGTCATTTAGGATACTTCTTACCGCTTCTATTTGTTATGACCACAAAATCGCAATCAATCTATGAGTGAGTGCGATTAGCTTTACGCCGCTTTTAGCAATATTCCAGCAATATCACAGCGGGGAACACCAGAAATGGACTTCACACATTGTACCCATGTGGGGAATCGAACTCGCGTCTTCGGCGTAACGAGCGAAGACTTTCACCACTAGGCTACCCCCACTGCCCCCGATCAATCTATGAACTGTAATTGTGGCTATGTAACAAAACAGTAGAAGAATTACATTTGTCTCTATGACATAAATAAACTACGTTTCGAGGAACACAATACAGTTCAAGTAGAAGATAAATATGTACATGGCTGCCTATTGGCATGAATTAAGTTACAAGTAATGTTCCATTAATGTCCTCAGAGCGGAGTAGGTACAACGGCGTCCTGGTTGTTGTATCCCAGTTTGCAGCATGCCAAAATAGGCCCCATACACACCTGGCGACCATCAACACCTGTAGTCAGGCTGGGACAGAACTGAAACATTCCATCAGTGAAAGGTCATATAACAGTTTTCATTTCATGCTCAAAATCGATATAGTGAGCCTTGGACAGAATTGAAACATTCCATCAGTGACAGGTCATATAACAGTTTTCATTTCATGCTCAAAATCGATATAGTGAGCCTTGGACAGAATTGAACCATTCCATCGGTGACAGGTCATATAACAGTTTTCATTTCATGCTCAAAATCTATATAGTGAGCCGTTTCAGTTACACCAAGAAGTGTCGGGTAATGTTGGAGTCATTACCTGAAATGTGATTCAGGGCCTAGATTTCTCTTAGCGCTAAGAGTCCATTACCTGAAATGTGATTCAGGGCCTAGATTTTCGAAGTTCTGGGTTAGCGCTAAGATAGTAGTAAGGGCCATACATTAACATTAACTTACGACTATCTTAGCGCTAAGAGAGCTTCGAAAATCTAGGTTCAGGTCTTTAACGTGTACAACTTTGGTGACGTAAGGAGTTAACAAACCATGGGTAATTAGTTTGAATCTCCAAATTTGCAGTTTTGCATAAAACATTAAACGATTGCAAGAATTGTAATGTTTTCATACGTCTTATTCGTACAGGGCTTACTACATCTGTTTCAATCATTGCCTTTCATTATGTCACAGGTAAAACAATTGACTTACACATTGTCGTTGATACTGTCAAATGTTAGTTTTGGATACGGTTTGGGAAAGTCACTTACAGCAAAGGCACGTCCTGCATATCTCTCGAGGTCTCTGAACGGCAGATTGAGTGAGGCCACGTCAAGGGTCCTGCCTCCGTTGGCAATGGTCACATCGGCAACGACTCCAGGCCGGGTGACTCTGCCAGTACCAAATATCTGACCCCATGGTTTTCCAAAACCCCGACCCCACTGTTGCCCAAACACTTGACCGAGTCCAAGGCCCAGAGCGTTACTACGGAAAAAAGGATTGCTGAGTTTAGGAATGAAGAACAGCGAAAGTTCAAGTTTGTATTACATCCTAAACGACTAAAATTAATTAGTGAACTATGCAAAACGTCTGTGCTTAGTAATGCATTTGATGACCAGGTGGGTGCAACAAAAAAAACGATTGATGCATCCGTAACACAAGTGTCGGAAAGATAAGTGTCATGCTGCGCAAGTTAAAAAGAGTCCACCATTCAGGAAAAAGGTTCACGTATGTGATTTTGTTTGTTTGTTGTTTAAACGTTTGTCGCACTCAGCAGTATTCCAGCTATATGGCGGCAGACAATCCAGTGATCCACATAACGAGCCTCGAAGTGAGTTTAGTTTTACGCCGCACTCAGCAGTATTCCAGCTATATGGCGGCAGACAATCCAGTGATCCACATAACGAGCCTCGAAGTGAGTGAGTTTAGTTTTACGCCGCACCCAGTAGTATCCCAGCTATATGGCGGCATACAATCCAGTGATCCACATAACGAGCTTCGAAGTGAGTGAGTTTAGTTTTACGCCGCACCCAGCAGTATCCCAGCTATATGGCGGCAGACAATCCAGTGATCCACATAACGAGCTTCGAAGTGAGTGAGTTTAGTTTTACGCCGCACTCAGCAACATTCCAGCTATATGGCGGCGGTCTGTAAATAATCAAATCTGAACCAGAAAAGCCAGTGATCAACAGCATGAGCATCGATCTAAGCAATTGGGATTCGATGTCGCCTCTTACGACAAGCATGAGTTGTTTAGGACCAATTCTAACCCGAATTGCTATGACGATATGTGAGGTTGATAGAAACACCTTCGAACGCCCGTCGGCTGCTTGAGTTATACTCTCCAGGGAGTTGAGAATGATAGCTGTAATGCATTCCGATCAACAGAGCTAGGAGCAATGAACCATATTTGAACAAGATTCACGTGAACATCAATTCACGAGGAGCTTATGTACATTTGACATGATGTATCATTTTAACGGCATACCTGCCAAAGACATTCCCCAGGCCATCTGGAGTACATCCTCCTTCAGTACGGGCTCGCTCAGTGAGAACAAATTGGAAGTTCCCTGTAGCAGATGTAGTTCTGAGCACAACGCTTCCACTCAGTCCACCTTGCCTTTGAGCCCACTGTGAAAAAATGGAAACACATACATTTGGACATAAATCCACTGGATCCGTAACAATCAAGAATTCATTGACGAAAGTTTGTTGTTTTACGCTGCACCTGGCAACTGTCCAGCTGTATAGCGGCGGTTTGTATATACTCGAGTCTGGATCAGACAGTCTAGTGATCGACATCATGAGCATGGATCTACGCAGTTGGGATACGATGACATGCATCAGCCTAGTCCATGTACCTGACAACCCAATCTCTATAGTCGTCAAGCAAGACCAATGCTATACCACTTCCTCATAGGTCAGTTTGTGTGCACGTTTGAAATTATTTTTAATACCACTTTAATGACGTCACGGTATTGTTTGTTGCAGTAATTCAGGAACTCACTGACCATTCTAAACAAGTAAATCGACGCAATTATACATACAATTATAGATAGATAATGATATGTCAACACTCGAATATGAAGACTGCGAACACTAGAGTTCACTTGAAACCTCAACCTTGAAGTTTGAACCTGACATTAAACGCGAACTTTTTGACATTAATGAAGTTGCGTGAAGCGGCAAGAGGTTGTCACAAGAGACCACTTGTTAGAATATGATTGTCTTAACGTGTAGAACGTCTTGAATATACATTTACTCACCCACGCTCCAAATACTGGTGGTGCTCTTTTCAGGGTAACAGCGAAGGCGAATCCAGGCACCGTGCCAGAACAGGTGATTGTTGTGTCTGTAAAAATATTGATATTGTCTATAGTAAAGAAGTAAGGCAAGAGGCAAAGAGGACGTCTAGAACTGACCTTGAGACGAAGCCTGGATAAGGAACTAATGGAAACCGGCTTAACCTGGGAGACTGCCAAGAGCATAGCCATTGAACGGCAAGCGTGGAGGACAACTGTTGAGGCCCTATGCTCCTCAAGGAGTAAAGAGAACTACGTCAAGTAAGTCAATGAAGTAAGGGTGACACGTGCACTGTATGGACATGGATATACAATACCCTTGAAACTTATGGTTCTTAAGATACTATAATGACTGGTGTGACAGAAACCACTGAAACCTGCCTTTCTGTTTCTGTCATCAACGATAATAATATACTGATCTTTTGAAAATCGACAAGAAACATACGTACTGTAGTAAGGGTTGATGAGACCAAACAATGATGCTCCCAGACCAAAGGAAGAGGTTCTACCAATTCCAAGTCCAGCACTCCCGATTCCTGTCCCAACACCCCCGAAACCAGACACAGTACCCCCAAAACCTGATCCAGCGCCTCCTATTCCAGGTCCAACACCTCCGATTCCAAGACCAGCACCCCCGATTCCAGGTGCAACAGCCCCCCTTCCAGGTGAAAGACGTCCTGCTCCCCAACCCTGTCCTGAGGTTAGGTGAGCAAGAGCAGCCACAAGAACAAGATGCAGCATGGCCATGGTGGAACTGGTCTACAGGATCAACTGACGTTCTGCTTCTCGTGACACCTTTATAACGCCAACGTTAGGCTTTCCTCCAAAGAATCTCTTGAAACTTGGAAACAGGAAATTTGTGCCCACTCCTTGTGAAATACAACTGCCGTAGAGGACAGGTCAAAGAAGTGAAGCTGGCGCACCTTAGGGGTGCTCTTAGGGAACACTTTAAATAATCTGCGTCATTCGGGTTCGTCTAATTCGTGATAGGCAAAAGGTACAAAGATAGTCCATCCCATTTCATCCTTTTTTTACTCATTCAAGCGGCACTAATACCCCTTGCTGGTCATACAGACCTTCCTTAACCTGCAGTACATTTTTGTGACGGAAATTGGTGTTGCCTTGGGTGACAACTACGCTCATTGTCCCGCTGAAACTTTTGATGCCTGGCTGAACCACATGAATGTACATTTTCTAATTTGTATTTCAAATATATATGTCACATCCTAGCACTGATATATTATCAACGTTCCTTAATTCATTAATTCATTCACATATTCTGTGATACAAGTCACCTATGAAGACAGCATCTCCTAACACTCGTTTGATATAATTAGAAAGATCTACTGGACACCAAAATACGATGGTACCAAACGTAAGTAGATACTTTGAAACAATCTCACATGTTCTGCTATACACGTGCATCATATTCATAGACGGAACACTCGTAGTCTAGATTTACCAATGTATTAAATGCCTTCTGTAGTTAAAAGGCATATATGCATTTTATAATCTTTATTTCTATTTCATTTTTATTTTATTTCAGTTCGTAATTCAAGTTGTATCTAGTTGTTTACCAGAAACGAAACATAGAGTGAATCTGTTTCCTTTGATAATCAATAATTTGATGAGGAAAAATGTCTTGGTTCCGGGTGAGTGTTACTTTCGGATTGTACTCATGAAATTGTACATGGGTTTTTTATTGAACAAGGTAAGAATCCAAATCAATGTTAACAATCATGACTTACAGTGATGATGCTCTCATTTATATGTGTTATTTGTTAAGGTTCTTCAGTGAGGATTTAAAGAGAATTGGAGTTTAGATGGTTGAGGTAACGTCATCTTCTCAAGCGCTAAAGCGGCTATAACCAAACTATCAAGATCTAAGCGATGTTTGAAGCAGTTACAAAGTACAGTACGTCCGAGTTATTTAAACAAATATGAGACATCAACAGATAATTTTTACCAGATGGGTTTTATCAGTTATTGAGTGCCTTTTTGTTATTTCGAAAACAATATAGATAAGTAATGGACAGAGGCATCTAATGGTATGCCACATGAATATATTAGTCTGTAACAAATGATGATTCATTTGCAATACAGTATGTTTCATTTTCCTATTATTGAGAACAAGGAATAATCAAAATAAGGAATCTAGTGTACTTTATTATAATCGTTTTGACAATGAACACAGGATGTTTTCTAAAGTTTTAGTAACAGTTACGATGGTTTCTAACTTTTCTTGCCTTCTTTCACAGGTTACGGTGACATGACCCTATATTCTTCAATAGGGACTGACTATTTCTATATTCTGTGAAACAATATATTTCTCGAAAATGGTGAAAATAATAGACTAATTTTGGTGCAAGTTTTTGCAATAAAATAGTAGGATGTCCTGAAAAACCTCTGATGCGGCCCAGCAAAATCTGATTGGCGCCTGTTGATATGTTTCATATGTCTTTTAATTATAGGTCACAAAGTAAACTGTCAGGTGAAAGAATGTATATACTTGAAAAAACTGCATTCAACAAAATAAAATAAAACCAAAAAGCTCCATCAAAACGTTACCGGGCTAAATACAGTCCCCATAGCAGTTTACATCAACCGCCATCAAGCATGGATGTCAACATTCTTTTAACCAGAAATTTAATTTAATCTGTCACAACATTCTTCTCTTCCTCATCCCAGATGCTCCCTCAGAAGTGTCCAGGGATTTGAAATATTTTGCTTTTGTGCCATAATCAAATTAAAAATAGCTAACCTGTCTTGACAAGTCGTTTGACGTGCAAACAACATAGTCCATATTTTCATAATTATGAATGATATGATTTCATTAACATTTGGCTGAGTATCCTAGCTATACTGTAACAGGATTAAAAGATTACTTTAAAATGAATTAATATGACGTCAGTAAGTTCATATAATTAGTGAAAAACATGCTGATGACCGATAATGACGTACACATGCCCCGGGAAAGAGGTGTGGACGCCTGGGGTCATCATCCCACTGCTAATTATCAACATGAAGCACAGGTACGGGTGTGCATCGTTGGATCTATCCCTTCGATACAGTGTCTGGTAGTACACCAACTGATGACCCCTCGGGCATTTTGTCTTGCCGATATTGTACATATTGACACCTACTACACATTTCCACCTGCTCGGTTACTATGATGAAGTGGAGGGGTTAGGCGCGTGGGCAAAGGGGAGGGGAGTGGTAGGGGTGGAGGAGGAGGAATGTCACGCTTAGGAAGTCATTTGTTCTTGCTCATGTAAACAAATCGGTTCGACATTAACGCATTTTGGTGTGTGCTGAAGGTAAAACATGCTAAAAATGCCATTCATCTTCGTGGACCACAGTAAATTACAGTAAGCACGTACCATACTGTAAATGCATTTAAAGAGGTAACTGGCATGGAACAAAATCATAAGATAGATTATTAATCATATTAATGTTTGAAAACAGACACTCATTTATTTCTCACATCGATTGTATGAAGCTCTAAAAATGTGTAAAACTCCTTCATTGGTACAGTAGCCCTCCTCATACTATGACATACTTGTGGCGAATATACCAGTCCCTGGTCTTGTTTCAACTACAATATTAATTGAGGTATCGGTAGGCCTTCAAGAATTCGTAAAACAATATGCTTATGGGCTAAGAAAACGCCAGATTCCCCAGCTGTAGTGAATGAGTGAGTGAGTGAGTTAGGTTTTACGCCGCTTTAAGCAATATTCCACGGCGGGGAACACTAGAAATGGGCTTCACACATTGTACCCATGCTGGAAATCGAACCTGGGCTTTCTGCATGACGAGCGAACGCTTAATCCACTAGGCTACCCCACCGCCTGTCCCCACCTGTAAAGTAAAGCCGAGGCACAGAAACGATGACTAAGTTAAAACAAGTGAAGACCTGTTTGTGTCGCGTAGTTAGCTGAGCTTCCTGGTCCCACCCTCTTACGATTAATGGGTGATGGGGTAGCTTAGTGGTTAAAGCGTTTGCTCGTCACGCCGAAGACCCGGGTTTGATTCCCCATATGGGTACAATGTATTAAAGACCATTTCTGGTGTTCCCCGCCATGACATTGCTGGAATATTGCTAAAAGCGGCGTAAAATCTCACTAAGTCTTACGATTACATGGCAATGTCAAATTTGTTGTCAATATATTTCGCTACTCTCAACGCCTGCTATAACCTACATGCTATTTATGAAGTTTACTTTAATATTTATATATTAGATACGATCTACGATCACTGCTGCACCCAGATTAATGAGTTTCTATTATAGACAGCTCGTCCAATACATAAAGTGTGTGTTTTAAATATTAACAGACTCAATATGTTTGGTGAAAATGTCGTTTTCCAATTTTTCATGCTAATGTACTTTGACCTTGTTAAGAATCTAATCTTTGTTAAGACTGGAATAATTTTTGTATCTGATAATCATATCGTATACGATCCAAAAACAGAAACGCATATGTGTGGTGTACGTGGTGGGCACAACATGTATTGACATTTCATTGAAAGTTTTGACGAAACCTGTGAATAATTTATCTAAAATTATCCACTTGTTTGTATAGACATTTCCTTCTTCAAAACTGATGTTAAACTTTATGTATAAAAGTTTATTTTTGGACGAGTTATACATGTTTGAAAATACAACATTTTCGCAACAGCTTTCTTGGTTATGCTTTTCTTTTTTTGAATAGTATATTTCAAAGTCTCGATGAAATATTCTTACAGGGGCAGTTAGGGTTGTTGTGTGAATATGTAGTTTTAGCAACAGGTGCTCTGTTTCCTGATGGCGCTGATATGAAATATCAAATTCTGTCCGGCTGTATTATCGCTATCCTTGGCCTCAACGACATTTGTTTGTTGGCGGAATCGTTATCATATCGGCGGAAAACGTATGCAAATAGGAGATTCGAAGGTTGCGTATTCGATACGCGTATAGTAACTGCGTTTTGGAACTTAAGTTGTCAGTGTTTCGCCGACTGTTTCGAACCAAGTAACATTTGGAAAATGTATGGTTTTGTTCAAATCCCATTTTCAAAAGTATATTTTATTTTGCCTGCTAGTTTCTGTTAATACACCGTGGAAGATTTCATGATACGATTTCAGTCTTTACTATTAACTCATACATGCCAAGGTTTATTAAGGCATCTGTTGAAGGAAACGTTTACGTTGATTTTCATTATGCATGAAAATTGGAACAATCTTGCAGCCACTACTTTTGAAAATGCCCACAAACAGTACTGACAAAAGCACTAACTGTAACATGACATTATGTAAATTTTAGATTTCATTTGATATCGCCTCAGTGTTAAAATGTGCTTTGTATGAGTCTTTACTTTTCAAATTTTTCACTCATTATTCATTGTTTGATAGGCATTCTAGAAGTAGGTGAGTCAAAAGTGGATAATTCATTCATTCATTCTTTCATTCATTCATTCATTCATTCATTCATTCATTCAGATTCTTCGTACCGATAATTTTACAACAAAGAAGTAACACACGTAGTAGCACATATATCACGGTAGTTCATTCTCAAACTGAAGATTCAACGTTCAAAACAACATCTTTTCATTTGTAAACACATATGTATAAACGTTCAAGATTAAATGTTCTTGAATATACACCTGACCACTTGAATATACATCCAAGGAGATGTGAATGTAAACATGGCCTTATTTCATTTCCTCCACACTGGTGCAATAGGTGCCAGTATGTACATGAACTATATGGTCCGATATGATTCAATGTTCGAAATTAATATCCACGGAGACAACTTAAAACTCATTCAGGAAAATATTGTTCAGATGTTAAAACGTAGCAAACGCGTATGTTCGAAGTCTGACCTGATGAAACAGAATGCAAAGAACGAATAAGACAAAATGATAGTGAATTATATTATGGGTCACTGAAACCCATGATTACACCAGATATTTAAGAAAAAGGGTAAGAATATCCAAACGTCAGATACACACGTTAAAGCTAAGAACCACTCCTTTCTGAATTGTATGTGCCTTTTATGTCCATACAAATATTTACATGTGATATTAATATATTTCGAATGTTCTTCACTGCAAAAATACCTGTAGAAAATTAAAAGAAGTTCCTAGGATAGTCGAAAAGCTTCCCCCGGGAAGATCCGGGTTAGATTAAGTCTTCAGCAACCCGTTCTTTTTCGCAAGAGGCGACTAACGGATTCGCTGATGCCATCGTATCCCAATTGGGTAGGTCAATGCTCATGATGTCAATCACTAGAATTCCTGATTCATACTGAGTATACGTATTGTTTACAGAATGACAGCCGTCCCAAAGATGGAATACAACTCAACAGAATAAACAATGGAAAAGCCATTTCAATGGTGCGATGTAATGATCCGACTAAACGATTGAAGAGATAAATTATGTTCCACAATAAATTGTCAGATTTTATGCTTCGTATTTCACAATGCAACAACGGGAACAAAACCAAATTCGTTTCATCAGAAAGGTATCACACTGCGCGATAGTTTTATACAATGTCCAAACGTACTTTATATGGAATTACACATGGAAGGAGGAGGTTGTGCTTAACGTTTAATGTAATTTCTTTTCGCAATCCCTTTGTTGTAGTTCAGTACAGAACAGTTTTGAAACACGAATTCAATTTTTCAAAAGTGATACAAATCAGTAAAAAGCACTGCTAAAGACACACTTACCAAATAAATCTTCTTATTTGATTATTTGTCAGACACAAGCTATCGAGCTTCATGGTGACTGTCCAACTAGTTATCTATGTGAACATCTTCGTTGTCATCAAACCATGGTCATTTGATATATGACTTGTCAGGTATTTTTAAATTCATACGCCGTATCTAATTGGTCAGGCCTTGATTATGTAGGGAACCAGGGATGGGACTTCCGTATTCCTACATTTCTGTGACATAATAATGTGCAATAACATTACACCCCTGGTGTATATAGACTCGGTCAGGTCAAGTCAGCAATATCGACATATTCAGTCCTTCTCGAGCACACGTACACCATGGCTTTCCTCACTGTAGCTCTTCTATCTGTCATTGCTCACCTGGCCTTTGGTCAAGGTATGGGTCAAATGGGCTTTGGTAATACTGGATCATCTTGGGGTCAAGCTGGAGCCACCTTCGGTCAAGCAGGGGGAGGTTTTGGTCAAGCAGGTGGAGCCTTTGGTCAAGCAGGAGCCGGATTTGGTCAAGAAGGAGCAGGTGTGGGGCAAGCTGGGGCAGGATTTGGTCAAGCAGGAGCAGGGTTAGGTCAGGCAGGGTTTGGGTTTGGTCAAGCTGGAGCCGGAGCAGGTTTAGGTCAGGGAGGATTCGGGCTTGGTCTACCCAGACTTGGCTTTGGTCGACTTGGAGCAGGGTGGGGACAAATGGGAGGACTTGGACAGAACATCGTCAACCCTATCTTGAGTGAGTCATAGCTTCTTATAGTTTCTTATTACATTCATTTTAATGTAAGATAATCTCAAACAAATTTCAAACTTATAGATGGTAATTGGAACACAAATTTAAACTGATGTAAAGCAATGTAAGACGCCGGTAGAGCAATGATCAAAGCTGTGTTAATATGATGTTTTGGAACATTAAGTTAATGGTACAGCACGATTTAATTAGCTTTGCCTTGTTTTCAGACACAACCATCACCTGTACTTTCACAGCTACAGGGATCACAGGATCCTTGACCCTGAGGAGGAGACAACCAAGCTGGGGAGGATGGGGTGTAAGTTTTTTTTTCAGTTCACTTATCAGAATGTGTCACTTATTCAGTGTGATAGACTAACATATCACCACAGAGAGGGGCGCTTTTGTTACCTGTTTATGTCAAACTGAAAATCGTTTGTATATATCAGCTAGTTTGTATGACCCCTTTTTCAAAAAAACCCAATGTGCGTGGATTTCACCACATGGTAAATGATTTGGAACAACTGAACAATGCTAAAACAAAACGGAACTTTCCTCGTTCTTTCATTAGGTTAGTACTGCCGTGAAATGAAGGTAGATTATGTAAACCTGGAAGATGTCTTATGTCCTTATTACTTCAAAAGCATGTCTCAGAATAACTAACTATAAAAAACATTCACGTATCTTCTTTCTTACATATTATAGTGGGGTCAATCCCGTGGAGGTTTGACTGGATCTGCTGTTCTGAGAACATCCACTGTGTCAGGAACTTACAACCTCGTCATCACTGAGAGATCTCGTGTGGAGGCTGGATGTACCTCTGATGGACTCGGACCTGTCATTGGAAGGTAAGGATCTTTTTGTTTCCAAAGGAGGAGGGGTGTACTGAATATACTAGTATATAATCCAATGTGATTGCGTCTCGGACCTATCTTGAAATGCAATGATCTGACCATATCTCGTGTTGTAAATCCTGCTTCTACAATAATCCCCTTCCATCCATGACATAGTATATTCAAAAGATATTTATCTGGGAAACATTATGTTAAAGATTCCTACTTTATCAAACCGAGCTGATTCAGGCAAGTTTTTGTTTCACCGATTCATAAAATAACATCTGAGATAAGATAATCAGATTTGACTAAAATAGTTTTTCTTCACACTTTCAGCAACGTGTGGGGCCAACGATGGGGTCAAGGTCTTGGTCAAGGATGGGGTCATGGTCTTGGTCAACAGTGGGGTCAGCCATGGGGACAGCAGTGGGGACAAGGTTCATGGGGCACTGGAACGACCACCACTCCCGGAGTTGTCACCTCTGTCACCCTCAGCACCAACCAGGAGACTGTTGTTGACTTGGCTTCTGCCAACCTGCCATTCAGGGAGCTCGAGAGATACGGAGGACGCGGAATGGCTGTAAGTGCTCGATAATTTTGTCACATGCAGCACCATTTCAGAATATCCATCTGCTCCGACAGGTTTTACATCTTTAGGAATGTCTTTATTGACAAATTTGAGCTTCAATCAATTCTCATAATATACCATTTAAACCTTAAAACACATTTTGCGTTATAACAGTGTACAGTGTATTTGCAAATATATAGCCTTGCAAATTTGATATTTGAAAATGAATAATTGTTTGTTTCCTGAGCCACGTGTATCCTTGCCAAAACAATGACATGTCATTATCTTCAAACTGTTTCCAGCTATGTTCATCCTTGACCACTGGTACAGATGGACGTCAAGTGTGTATGGAACCTATCCTGGCCTGCTGCAAGTTGGGATTTGACAACACGGACGCTGTCACCCCGGCAGCCCCCTGAGCATACTGAGAAGATATTAAATATTCATCACTCTTAAACCCCCGCTTTATATTCCTTTGAAATGAATTGTTTAAGTTAACAAACGCAGATGCACTCTTTGGGTGTGACGTTATGTGTGAAAGAATGCATATTGTCTATTTGTCAAAATGTCATTAATTTGTTGTATTGCAAGTAGTCTTAATATGATAACAAAGAAGATCTGCCTGTCCTCTTCTTACTTATGCAGAGATGAGCCTCTGGGGGCTTTATGAGTATTGCTGTACATGTATTTAATCTTGAATTATTCATTGTCTGACTCTTAAAATGTTGAAAATGTACGAAGCTGAAAAACCAATTCAAATTCAAAGCATTTACGATTGAATAGAAATCGTTTGTATTACAAAAAAAAGTATTTATTTGGAAACATTTTCACATCATTGCATTCCAATCAGAAAATCTTATTTATGCTGTATTTATATTAGGAAATGTCAAATGCAATTCGGATGTGTAAGTTTTTAGAAACAATAAAAGGAAGTGAAAAAAACTATATTGTTTTGAGTTCTTATGGTTCATAAAAGCCAATTTGACAAACCATTTTTATCTACGACTGCTAAGATAATTGTTTTCGCTGAAAGAGATGCCGAAGAAACATTAACACATATTTAGGGTTATGTTTATGTCGTTGGGTCACATGGAATAAACACACAAGCACGCACGCACGCGCACACACACACACACACAAATACAAAATGATCGATTTTCGAAACAGATGGCTCAAGATACTTGATGTTGAACCAGCTACAAGAAGCCGTATCGCTGTAAACCGAGGCCAAAACAGAAACATGGGCATAGAAACCAGTCGGGAATAGAACATAGAAACATCACATTATTTTGTATTTATACACACGCTTACTGTTTATGCAAACTGTGTGAGTGGCTCCAGGTACCGGTAAAGCAGGACATGCTTGACTTGGCACCCAGTGTCATTATACATTTCATTTATCTTTGCATATATTTTTCACTTCTGTTTTGCCTCTCGCGCTCATGGAATCGTTGTCGTTCATGTTAAACTGACTGATTCGAAGTCTCGGAGCTATTCCCCTATTCATTGTACACGCAATGTACATAACTGTAGGTTCTAATCTCTGTTTGCCCGTATAATATTTTTAGGTATGTCCGTTCTGGCGGATTTACAGAAAGTGATATCTATCTCAGACCTGCATCACTTCGAGATTTCCATCACAACAAACTGACGTGACGTAACATAAGTGACGTGACGTTACGTTACGTGAGTGAAATAGTTTAGTTTTACGCCGCTTTTAGCAATATTCCGGCAATATCACAGCGGGGGACACCAGAAATGGGCTTCACACATTGTACCCATGTTAGGAATCGAACTCAGGCCTTCGGCGTGACGAGCGAACGCTTTAACCACTAGGCTACCCACCGCCCTGACGTGGCATAAAAGGGCGTTACGTCAACTCAGTCATTTGTGTGCTGTTGAAAAGAGAATATATATTTCAGAGTTGGTGCTGGTATTGTGTTGATTGTACATTTAAGTATTCATTCAAACATGGGAGGTATGCACACATTTTAATATGACAATTAAAGATAGTCAGCTATTTATGACTGATAGAAGTTTATAAAGACTATGATTATGATTATGAAAATGTTTCTTATTTGTTGGTGATGATATGAGATCTCTTAAAAGCAAAATCCATTGTACGATCCATTCCAGAACTTGAGCATGCTTTCATGAATCATTATCAAATAGTGATGACACGTTATAAGTGGCCAACATGTCAAAGATCGCGTTCTTTCTCCACACTTAATGTTAGCAAAATCTTGGTTAAACGCATTAATACATATTGTCCATACCATAGTGAAATCTCACACATACATCAAGATCTTGATTAAACGTAACATGATATATTTGGGATTACAGTTATCAGTAAAGTTTATATTCTAGTACTTTCAACCTAACAAAAGTACTAGAATCTGTCCGCCGTGATGTTGCTGGAACAAAAGTAAAACTCAGAATCAGTATACTAGAATCAGTACTTTACTTAGAAAGTGTAATCCCAAATATACACACTAGTATGTCAGGTTTGATAACTTTCTAAAGGACATTGTGTACTCATTAATTAAACGTTTCAATGAAGATGTGTTGACACAAAGTTACTTGCTTGAGATTGTTATATAGAGACGGATAGACTCACAGATGGATACTCATATAATATACTACAAACAGAAAGTATGGGAACACCCTAAAATTTGATAGTCAAATATAAATTTAAACGTGGTGAGGTCATTTATATTCTAAGGTAAATGCAACTTTTTGTGTACTTAATGGCCACTTTAAACGACATGTTAGAACATGCAGTGAAGCAACTGATTCAATATTCGTTAAGTTTGAGCGAAATGAAACATTGTAAAAAAAACAGCGAAACATGACTATCAAATTTTAGGGTGTTCCCATACATTTTGTTTGTAGTATATATTGACATTAACAAAATGCAGGTTTAAAAGTGTACGACTGTAACAAAATACATATAAAACATCATTATTATCGACATCCATCAACCATTCATGCTCCCCAGGGAGTTGAGATTGACAATACGATGTGCCGTTGAGATTGACATCCAGTGAACGAAGGAAAAAACAAAGCGCCTTTGAGCAGCTGAGCTGGATATCGGCGCTATACAAATGTTAGTATGTATGTATGTGTATTCATCATCCACCATTCAATCTATCCATCAATCTCTCCCTCCATAAAAACTCCCATCCATCCATCCATCCATCCATGTACGAACAAACAAATATTCGGACTTACTTTGATATATTTTTCACCATCAGTATATGTAAATGATCGACGAAGTTTTGTATATGTTCAAGTTAGTTTATGAGTACAGTTTGAAACCTTATGATGACGACACACTAGTTTTGCTTTGAACAAGGAATTCACTTATCCTTCTGAGCGTGCATCTAAACCTGACGCAACGTCAGGTCATTATGCAACATCAAAGAGACATTATACATCAGCCACAATAAGTCGGGGAAATCAACTCTTGATTCCGGAAGTAGAATAATATCTCCCCTACGGGGCTCGTTCATTCTGCTCCCGGTATCAGCAGAGTCTCATTGTTTTCCATTAGTCATATACCAAACAATGCATAATTAACAGATCAGTAATGATCAAATCAATCGTTTGACTGTGCCAGCGTGGAGACATTTTAGCCATATACTAGTATATTTCGATAATGGCGTAGTGGTGCTATGTACCGTAAACAACCGTCGACCTTGACGAGTGAGTGAGTGAGAGAGAAGCCGTTAGACTCACTCGTCTTGTAAGCAGCATTAAGAATATGATATTTTCCAGAAATATATGACAGAAGATTAATTTGGCTGATCAAATGAATGAACATACCTTACTTATACTCGACGAAGATAAGGATATAAAATATCAAATCATCACATTTACTCGAACATATAGTTTGAATGAATCTACAGTGGATTTATTAATGGCTTCATGATTAAAATAGTTCCGCATGCTGTTTAACATACTACACACAGTGATATGTTGGTGGACTATCTGTGACACGTTGTTGCGCTACGACGTCGTAACAACATGACGTTCTAACGTTGCGGTCATATATTTATGTTTAAGCGAAATTATTGAAAGTTATTGGACATGTGCCTTACTGTACTGTATCTATTATTCCGTGTGTTCCAGTATGTTTCAAGTTCATTCTTGTCAAAATGTAAACTTCAAAAAAAAATTCAGGAAGCATTTGTCCGTTACTTGTGGCTTATCCACACTGAAATTATAACGAAATGTGGTATTAACGGTGCAAACATAGTTTTACAATATATATTATGCGATGTAGATATTCTCACGATTTCTATGGTTCTCTTTTCACTTACCATGCCTCTCTATCATAGAAAGTCCATCATGACAGTCATATGAACTTATGCAGTTATTAAAGTATCAATGCTTTTAAAATTTGTTTCCATAAGAATTAAATCTAAAGATGACCCTTCCCATACTTAGGCCTATATTTGCAAATAATATTTTTTTTATTCCTGGACAAAGTACATTTGCTGATTGTGACACCTTGTGTTTACATAACCAGGGAGAAAAAAGAGAAATGAATTTTTTTTAAATAAAATAATATATAATGTGTGTATGGATGAGTATGAGTGATATATATATATATATGTGTGTATGTATGTATGTATGTATGTATGTATGTATGTATGTATGTATGTATGTATGTATGTATGTATGTATGTATGTATGTATGTATGTATGTATGTATCACTCATACTCATCCATACACATATTCACACCCACTGGAAGCTTTTAATGTGCATGTTGGATACTGCAAAAATTAAATCTAAAGATGACCCTTCTCATACTTAGGCCTTTATTTGCAAAAGAAATGGTTATCACTTACGACACAATAACGCCACCTAGTTTGTCGACATTATTGCAATAACGTTTAATTGCAGTAACTTAGAACTGCTCTGTAAGCTATTTCGTTAGTACTACTAACTGTAACTGTGTATGCATATTTTCATCAAATTAGAGCACGTGGATCAATTACTTATGGGATTGGTAATTACTTTATTGCACACTGGGATCGTTCCGATGTAATAAGTAACTAATCTACCACCCCTTAATTATATAAGAAGGTGGGAACAGTGTTGTGACCAGAGGCGCTTCTCTTTATTTCAGTGACATAACAAATAGTCTGGCTAATTATTCCCCTGGTGTATATAGACCCCGTCAGGTCAAGTCAGCAATATCGACATCTTCAGTCCTTCACGAGCACACGTACACCATGGCTTTCCTCACTGTAGCTCTTCTATCTGTCATTGCTCACCTGGCCTTTGGTCAAGGTATGGGTCAAATGGGCTTTGGTAATACTGGATCATCTTGGGGTCAAGCTGGAGCCGCCTTTGGTCAAGCAGGGGGAGGTTTTGGTCAAGCAGGTGGAGCCTTTGGTCAAGCAGGAGCCGGATTTGGTCAAGCAGGAGCAGGTGTGGGTCAAGCTGGGGCAGGATTTGGTCAAGCTGGTGCAGGAGCAGGTTTAGGTCAAGCTGCTGGAGCAGGATTTGGTCAAGCTGGTGCAGGATTTGGTCAAGCTGGAGCAGGATTTGGTCAAGCTGGAGCCGGAGCAGGTTTAGGTCAGGCAGGATTCGGGCTTGGTCTACCCAGACTTGGCTTTGGTCGACTTGGAGCAGGATGGGGACAAATAGGAGGACTTGGACAGAACATCATCAATCCTATCTTGAGTGAGAACATTTAAGTTTCTTATGTCATATATTTAATGTAAGATAATCTTAAATGATTTATACAACGTATATCCACTTTCAAACTTGAAAGTAACATGAAACTTGAAACATATGTTTCAAATTATGAACTGACAACGTAGACAAGGGCTAAGCTTCAATATGATGTTTTTTTACTTTGAGTATATGGTATAACACTGTTTTCATTTGACATTTGTCTTGGTTTCAGACACAACCATCACCTGTACTTTCACAGCTACAGGGATCACAGGATCCTTGACCCTGAGGAGGAGACAACCAAGCTGGGGAGGATGGGGCGTAAGTTGTTTCTGTTCATTCATCAGCATCTGTATCGTATTCAGTGATTAAGTCGTGAATCATTTCCTTGTTTGCTAGCACCATAATCGGTTGTGGGGATGTCAGAGTGGGAAACGTTTCTAACATGCTTCACTTTCGACTAATGTGTACGCAGGTTATGTAGAACTATCAGAATATGTCAGATCGTGTAAACATTCATTTTTCGTGAAAACTATGCACTTGGGCAACATCACAGAATGACCAACAAGAACACATTCCCGTATCTTCTTTCTTACATATTATAGTGGGGTCAATCCCGTGGAGGTTTGACTGGATCTGCTGTTCTGAGAACATCCACTGTGTCAGGAACTTACAACCTCGTCATCACTGAGAGATCTCGTGTGGAGGCTGGATGTACCTCTGATGGACTCGGACCTGTCATTGGAAGGTAAGGATCATTTTGATCCCGAAATAGGCGAAGGATTACTGAAATCATATAGTCAAAGTGTGCGATGTGATGGCTCATTGTGTCTCGGACCTGTCCTTGAAAGATCTGACTATCATTCGCGAGTCTCGGGAAGCTTCCTTTAAGAACAACCAATTAGTCAGATTGTTGGATGGTAACAAAACAACGTATGATATGAATTTACAATTTCTTTATTATTTTCAACACGACGATTCTGGGCTACTTCTTTCCACTTCATCAGGTGACTAAGTGATTGTTATTTTTAACGCCGCACACAGCAATTTTCCAGTTATATGGCGGTGGTCTGTAAATAATCGCGTCTGGACTAGACAATCCAGTGATCAACAGCATGAGCATCGATCTAGGCAATAGGGATACGATGACATGTATCAACCAGGTCAGCGAGCCTGACCACCCGATCCCGTTAGTCACCTCTTACTGAAGACCAATTCTAACCCGGATCTTCACGGGCATTCATCAGGTGATGATGTTTCACTTGATGAAGGGGCAAGTAGTAGCTCAGAAACGTCGTGTCGTAAATAAAGACGTTGTCAATCCATACCATAAGTTGTTATGTAACCAATTAGTAAACCACTTAGAAAATGTTTCTAACGGTAAAACATTAGCGTAATGCACTAATTCACCCACTTTTTCCATGCCAACAATTCACGTCAAATATTTTAGATCTGAACGAAAATAATAGTTCCTTCGAACTTTCAGCAACGTGTGGGGCCAAAGGTTTGGTCAAGGTCTTGGTCAACAGTGGGGTCAGCCATGGGGACATCAGTGGGGACAAGGTCTTGGTCAACAGTGGGGTCAGTCTTGGGGCACTGGAACGACCACCACTCCCGGAGTTGTCACCTCTGTCACCCTCAGCACCAACCAGGAGACTGTCCTTGACTTGAGCTCCGCCAACCTGCCATTCAGAGAGATCGAGAGATACGGAGGACGCGGAATGGCTGTAAGTGCTCGACACATTTTGACAGGCGTTATCATTTTAGAATACATATCTGTTCCGATAGGTTTCACCTCTTTATGAAGGTCTTTATTCACATATTTCATCCTTTAATAAAAGTGTATTATACGTTAAGGCTATATAGTTTTGTTAACGTGTAAGCTTACAAATTATTGGATTTAAATCATTGTATTTTGTCCTGAGCCACTCGTATCCTTGTTAAAACGATCTAAGCACTCAAAAACAAAGACATGACATTATCTTCTACTGTTTTCAGCTATGTTCATCTTTGACCACTGGAACTGATGGACGTCAAGTGTGTATGGATCCAATCCTGGCCTGCTGCAAGTTGGGATTCGACAACATTGACGCTGTCACCCCGGCAGCACCTTAAATAAGGAAGCTGTTTCTTCTCATCGTTCTCAGTTTTACAAAGAAAACTTGTTTTGAAAACATAAATGTAAGCACACAAGAAATGATGACGACCAACGAATCAGTAGATGGAACAAACGATTAGTGATTGATTGCACTGTACAGTCGAGATGCCGTATACGATATTTCTATTGCAAAGTAAATCATGTCGATGTTAGGGTGATATGGAATCAACAATGAAAATGTTCTGTATGTAAATGTGTTTTGGGTATCATTCAACATGGTTGGGTATAATAGCGTTGATATGAGCATCGCTATCTGTTTCATGTGATGTATATATTTCATGTTCGTAGTAATTTATTTTAGAAATAAAAAAACGAATTAAGAATATTCTTTGTTGTCGCTTGTCTAAAATGTGTACTCTGTACAAGAACGTGAATGATGGGACACTTACACTCTCACCTCTTCCTCGAACACCTGGTGTCCACACTTATTTTCAGTGATCCATTCGTATAATGAACATTTCTTAAATGACACTGTTAATTCACTGACGTGTTTTTATATGGTAGTATACTACTATCGTTTCATGACGGTCGGGCTTCAAGTTTCATTTTATAACACGTGTTTGAAAACAGATTGAAAACACCCTTTCTACTGGATTCAAATGCATGAGATGAAACTGATGCAAGGGTTAAATTCTTTTCGTTATCAGTTACAACCTGGTACGTAAACTGAAGAACAAACGGAAGTGTACATTTCACTTGATTTTGGCATTAGTTTGATTTTCTTACGGCTGAAATGTTTCATTAGTTAGCGAAAACCAATCTAAAAGCGTTAATTATGGTAACGCTTAGTCTGCCCTCAAAGAATAATTCTATATGGGTTTATTTTATTTCATTTTTTCGCTTATGACACACAACTGTTGATGGATATCTTAGCAATCGTAACTTAGAAATTAATTAGCTTGTTATTTTTTCGGCACAAATTTTCCGACACTCCAAACATTATAAAAGTCAAGTGGTTGCACTTTCGCACCACTAAATTAAATATCCACTGAATCTAACACACTGTTGTGGGATTGAATTATAGCTAAATAGGCATGGTGGTATTTGACAACATTTTCTATAAAAAAATAACTTTCTATTGCCCAATAGAAAACTCGGTATCGAGGATCGAACCCGCGACCTTCGGGCGGACGCTCTAACCACTAACACCACTGAGGTGGTCACAACACAGTGAGGACATGATGACATTCATCAACCAAGTCAGCGAGCGTGATCATCCGATCCCGTTAGTCGCCTCTTACAACAAGCATGAATTGCAAAAGACCGAATCTCCACACTACCTGATGTATCAATATATATTTAATTTACCTAAATCACCTTTACTGTTCATAGTTAATCACAATCCCCTTAAACTTGCTCAACGCCATAACAGCGATTTATATTTTTTAAATTGCTTACTTGTCATAGAATTGCTGGTGTCCAGTACCGACCTTAAATGTTTTCTTTTTGGTGTATCCGAGTTGAAGAGTTCATAACAACTTCACCTGGGTTAAAGGAAATATGACTTTTGAAAAGTTATGTCATTGTCATTCCGAAAAAAGACTTGGTTTTAAGCCTAAACCGTTTGGGGTGAAATATTCCTGGTTCAGGGCCGAGGTATATACCACTACGAACCCTGAACATGTATTGTCATTGCATGCGACGTGATCATTTTACACGTGCAGTAACTGTTTCCCGTAAAAAGCTTAGCGGGTGTGAGACCCGTCCTGTATTACATAATATCCCAGCACGCTTTCATGTTAAATTGTGCAACTGAAACATGCGTCAACGCCTTCGACTGACATGAATTTGTCCGAATACATATGCCTGTGCCTCCTGGTCCAAATGATCATGAGACATTGAAAAGACACAAAGAGACATTGTTAACTTGATGAGAGGAAATATTCATTTTGTCGTCACACAAAAGACTCTGTGGGTCTTCATGTAATGAAGAATACGCTCGAATGTTGTACAGTGTAAGTGTTTGATTTCCTTGTATGCATCGGAAGCAAGTCGGGTAGTACCCTTAGTGGTTAAAGCGTCCGCTCGTAACGCCGAAGACCCGGGTTCGATTCCCCACAAGGGTACATTGTATGAAACCTATTTCTGGTGACCCCCGTGATTTTCCTGGAATGGTGTTAAAACGGCATAAACTATATTCACTCGTGTCGTGATGAGTTGATGAAAACTTATGTGCAAGCTCTTCACAGGTACTAACTGCTTGTCGTTGTTTACATTTAGGTGTCATTGAATACATGGCTGTGTTCTTGTGTACAATGCGGACTGGCGCATGAAGACGTTTAGTATCACTATTGTTTTATTACACGCACCGGTGAATTCACATAACGGGACGCAACTCAGAGACTGTACAGCATAGATATTTAGATGGACCTTACCAAATGTGCCTGTTTCTTATGTAGAACAAGTATATGGGACAGTTGGGAAGAAGTGCGATACTGCTCGGGCTGTGTCAGATACAGTCAGATACCAAAAGTGTCAAATCCGAAACTGTTGAATCAATGTTTAACACAGCTGGGACATCGTCACAACTAAGGTCGTTTCAGACACAGATGAAATAATTTCTGATACAGCTGGGACCATGTCAGATACAGATGTGACAATGTCAGATACGGATGGGGGAAAGTCAGATACATTACGGAGCACGTCAGACTCAACTGACACAATGTCGGATACAGCTAGAACGTCAGGAATAGTTGCTACCAAGTCAGATTCCGATTGGATCCCGTCGGATACAGCTGACTCAATGTCAGATACAATTTCGGATACAGAAAGTGTCATATCAGAAACAGTTGAATCAATGTTAAACTCATCTGGGACATCGTCACGTACAATCATTTCAGATGTGACTGAATCAGGGTCTGA